CCAAAAATCTCAAATAAAAGAGTTAATCACTAAATATAACTCTATCTTCAAAGAAAATCCCTACTCCTTGTACATTGGGTTTCCACGATAATGAATTGTTAGAAGATAGTCCAATAAAGCAATCCCCTTACCGGGTCTCTCCTGCTAAGCCAGAATTAATTCAGCAAGAAATAAATACATTATGGAATTTAATTTGATAGAACCCAGTTGGACACCTTGGGCCTCTCCCTGTTTATTGGTCCCAAAAACCCGAGGGTACCGTACGCCTATGCACGGATTATCGTAAAGTAAATTCAGTCACCAAACCAGATAGGCTTCCATTACCCAGGATTGATGATTTAATAGATGCTGTAGCCGTGCCAACTTTGTGACCAGATTAGACTTACTGAGAGGATATTACCGGGTTTGCCGTTAACTCCTGGGCCCCAAGAGTTTTTCCGGGGTTCGTAATTAAGAACGGACTATTTACGTATAAGGTTACCCTTTCGGCTTGTGTAACGCCGCCCCCACTTTCCAGAGAATTATGAACATTTTAGCCCAACCCTTAAAAGGGTTTGTAGAGGCATACTTAGATGACCTGGTGTTTTTTAGTGATGATTGGCAGTCGCATTTAGAAAGATTAGAGCAATCTGAAGGCATTGCAGAAATACAATTTCACTTTTAAAATTTTAAACAAAAATGTGACTTTGGTAAAGCCCAGATTAAATATCTCGGTTTTAAAATAGGGAAGGGACTAGTACCCCGACCAGTTAAAGGTCCAAGCTATTTTAAATTTTCTGACGCCTCAAGACAGGAAAGCCCTCCAACGTTTTTTGGGGAATGGCTACTTATTACAGGCTTTTTGCCCAAACTTTGCTCAAGTTTCCCTCCCCCCTTACTAGATTGACAGTCCTTAAAATAAATTTAATTGGGGCAAGAATTGTGAACAAAGCTTTTAAACGTTTAAAAAACGTTTCCTTTCCTCCACCCCAGTATTGCGTGCACCCAATTTCCAAATTCCTTTCACCCTCCATGTTGATGCCAGTGATGCCACAATAGGTGCTGTCTTATTGCAATCTTTCCAAAACAGTAATATTCTACATCCAATATGTTATTTTTTCCTATAAATTGAAAGAATATAAAAATATCTTATTCAACCATAGAAAAAGAAGCCCTGGCTTTAGTTTTTGCCCTTTGGGAAACCCACTTTGACTTTATACCTGGTTATACTCCTCATGGATAAAAAATTTACTCAGACCATAATCCTCTAATTTTTCAAAAAATTCTATGAAATAAAAAAATGTTAGAATATTGCGCTGGGCTTCAAGGATCCAACCTTACGGGAAATCTCCATTTTTCACAAAAAAGGGTTCGAGCAACGTTTTAGCCGATGCTCTCTCTCGCTCCTAATATATTGCCTAACTAGGGAAAAATTCTTTGCAGTCTAGCAGTGTTTCTGGTCCAGTTCAAGCAAGTGGATGACTGAGCTTGGAAGATGTACCTCCATCCCTATACCAGCTGGTTGGCTTCTTCCCCACCATCAGCATCTTAAACGCCAAGATATTTGCTTGTGGGCCGGGTTCATGCCCTATGGTTAACCTTTCTTTAATATTACAATTGCGGTTATTTCCTTTAATAGCTAAATTGGAAAAAGAACGTCCTTGTATTATTAAGGCTAATTCTTATTAACAATTATTATAATTTATGTAACAAAGGCCATAAGTTTAATTGGAGGTATAGTAACATGCCTGCCGCCCGGGTGTGCCCGGGGTATGGTTTGCCGTGATGTTCGATGGTTATACCCCCCTTTCACCCCCCCCCTTTATGTTTTAACTACTTACTGAGTGTTGGTGGAGTCATGTCACGTGGGCCCACTTGACCTGTATTTGAAGGTTGAGGGGCGAGCAGTGAAAAAGGTTTCTCGTTGGCAGCCAACGAGAACACTCTGCTCATCTCTGGTAACTGGCCAAGGTTTATTATCCGGCCTGGACATATTCTGTTTTATTCTGACTGCTTTTCCAATTGGGAAAAAAGACTTTATACATTAAAGTAATCTCTATATATATATGTTAAAATCTAGGATCTCCTCCTAATCATTTTGTTAGAAAGCCTTATATATAATTTTGGATAATATAGACAAACATGCATTCTTAATTTAATACGATAATTTCGTATATTATTTCTGGCTTTTGTTGTATTATGAATATACTTAATTAAAATTAGGCATTCCGGAGGATCAATATTATTACCCTAAAACCCCTCTGACCAAATTTGTTATGCTCTAAAAAGAAGGAAATAGTGGTTACAATACTTGGAGTGTAACATTTACATTAATTCTTATGGGAAATAATATTTCAGTTTTGGGCCATTTCAGTTTTAGACTGACCTTCTGGAAAGGATTATGGCCGATAACCGAGGGTCCACTGTTTTGTCAATAAAAACATGACAAGCATAAGTCCAAAGACATTAAGAAAATCAATATTAACATAAAAGATATGTTAAATAAAGTGTAGGCTAGAAAACAGACATAAATTAATCTAAAGGTTGGAAGATAAATTGACAGAAAAACAGTTTTACTGCACATTCTAACAAGGTATAAAGAAATCTAGTAAGGCAGTAAAATTATATTTAAAAATAGTTAGATTAAGATAAGTTATGAATAGGCTGACATAAGCTAGACAAAATGATGTAATATAAACATGTCTAAATACATCTTACATTACTAATCCTATAGTTAATCCTAGTATCACAATATATAAGTGATAACTCATTATAATGGTCCAAGGTACAAGGTACATATATAATAATAACACAGCTGGCAATAACTTGACTGATTTTCCTAACCCATTATTTCTACTCTGTTATTTCTCAAGAATACATCTTCATGTCAATACATGTACTTTTTAAGATTTTTATACTCATTAGTTGTGTTTAGGAACTCACTTGTGGGCATTATTCTGCTGGAATAATTCCCCTAAAAACGTCGAGTATATTGGCGGTGGCTGTTATTGTGTCTGGCCTCGTGTCACCTCCAAAATTCTTTGATTTTGCAAAGTACTTTACATTAATAATAATAATTTCTATAAATACAAGATACAAATTATACAGACCATAGCTGACATCAGTGACACTGTACAGAAAGACACTGGTTATGCAGAGCATTTCAAGAACCTTAGATTAATTTTGTCCACAGGATGCGACTCACACCAGTCAGCAAACACCCAGGTACCTACTTGCTGCTAGATGAACAGTAATAGCAGATATCTTAAGGAAATATGCCCTAATGTTTTCCCCGTACAGGGGATCGAACCACTGACCTCGGTGTGTGAGGTGAGTGCGCTACCAACTGAGCAATGGGACACTTGCAGGTTTCTTTTATGACCAAGTACAACAAGCCTTTTAAAATTATTATTACAATGTGACAGTGACACAGTAGTGATGATACAGTGAACTAGTGTGTCAACACAACACCACAGTAGTGATGGTGACACAGTAGTGATGGTACAGTGAACTAGAGTGTCAACACAACACCACAGTAGTGATGGTACAGTGAACTAGAGTGTCAACACAACACCACAGTAGTGATGGTGACACAGTAGTGATGGTACAGTGAACTAGAGTGTCAACACAACACCACAGTAGTGATGGTACAGTGAACTAGAGTGTCAACACAACACCACAGTAGTGATGGTGACACAGTAGTGATGGTACAGTGAACTAGAGTATCAACACAACACCACAGTAGTGATGGTGACACAGTAGTGATAGTACAGTGAACTAGAGTGTCAACACAACACCACAGTAGTGATGGTGACACAGTAGTGATGGTACAGTGAACTAGAGTGCCAACACAACACCACAGTAGTGATGGAGACACAGTAGTGATGGTACAGTGAACTAGAGTGTCAACACAACACCACAGTAGTGATGGTGACACAGTAGTGATGGTACAGTGAACTAGAGTGTCAACACAACACCACAGTAGTGATGGTGACACAGTAGTGATGGTACAGTGAACTAGAGTGCCAACACAACACCACAGTAGTGATGGTGACACAGTAGTGATGGTACAGTGAACTAGAGTGTCAACACAACACCACAGTAATGATGGTGACACAGTAGTGATGGTACAGTGAACTAGAGTGTCAACACAACACCACAGTAGTGATGGTGACACAGTAGTGATGGTACAGTGAACTAGATTGTCAACAAAACACCACAGTAGTGATGGTGACACAATAGTGATGGTACAGTGAACTAGAGTGTCAACACAACACCACAGTAGTGATGGTGACACAGTAGTGATGGTAGAGTGAACTAGAGTGTCAACACAACACCACAGTAATGATGGTGAGACAGTAGTGATGGTAGAGTGAACTAGAGTGTCAACACAACACCACAGTAATGATGGTGAGACAGTAGTGATGGTAGAGTGAACTAGAGTGTCAACACAACACCACAGTAGTGATGGTGACACAGTAGTGATGGTACAGTGAACTAGTGTCAACACAACACCACAATAGTGATGGTGACACAGTAGTGATGGTACAGTGAACTAGAGTGTCAACACAACACCACAGTAGTGATGGTGACACAGTAGTGATGGTACAGTGAACTAGAGTGTCAACACAACACCACAGTAGTGATGGTGACACAGTAGTGATGGTACAGTGAACTAGAGAAAACACAACACCACAATAGTGATGGTGACACAGTAGTGATGGTACAGTGAACTAGAGTGTCAACACAACACCACAGTAGTGATGGTGACACAGTAGTTATGGTACAGTGAACTAGAGTGTCAACACAACACCACAGTAGTGATGGTGACACAGTAGTGATGGTACAGTGAACTAGAGTGTCAACACAACACCACAGTAGTGATGGTACAGTGAACTAGAGTGTCAACACAACACCACAGTAGTGATGGTGACACAGTGATGGTACAGTGAACTAGAGTGTCAACACAACACCACAGTAGTGATGGTGACACAGTAGTGATGGTACAGTGAACTGAGTGTCAACACAACACCACAGTAGTGATGGTGACACAGTAGTGATGGTACAGTGAACTAGAGTGTCAACACAACACCACAGTCCACCACAGTCACCTCAGTAATGTCACTGTGGTTGACTGCTGCTCTCACCACATCCAGACCCTTCACAACTTTACCAAAGACATGGGGCCACTGGCGACCATCTGGGAGGTCCCTGGTGATGATGATGAACTGGGCACTCTGGTGACTCCCCAGCCACCATGGTGACCACACAGCACCAGCACTGCCTGACTTCTGGTACTGGTGATCATCCTGGTGAGACAACAGTGCTGCTCCTCCCTTACCATTATTATACTGGTAGTCTCCACCATACACATGCTCCCATGGTTCACCCTTGTTCCTCACCTTCAACAGTTTAGTGTTGAGGTAGGAGGAGCCTGAGTGTTGTCCAGTACACAACAACACAAACTGTCTGGTCAGTGTAGTGTTACCACTCAGCTGGATGTGCAGTCTGTTTGATCCAGCCAGTGATCCAGGCTGGGTCAGTGATCCAGGCTGGGGCAGTGATCCAGGCTGGGGCAGTGATCCAGGCTGGGTCAGTGATCCAGGCTGGGCCAGTGATCCAGGCCAGGCCAGGTCAAGAAATACCAGAGTGGAGGAGTGATCCAGCGTCTCCAACACCTCGCTCACCTACACAAACAAACATCATCACTCACTCTACATCTCACTTATTATTATTATTATCATTATTATAATATTACAGTGGTCCCTCGCTTTTCGTAGTTCTCGCCAATCGTAAATTTCGCCAATCATAGGGGTATTTTCGTATAAACATGGACTCGCTTTTCATAGGTTGACTCGCGAATAGTAGTTCATCCAGGACGCTTACGCACGGTGTGAGCCGGGGAGGCCTCCCTACCCAGCCAGTCTGGCATTGTTTACCAGTGAGTGAAGGTCCCCTCAAGTGCTCCTACGAAATATTTCATAATATTCCACTCATTTTAGTGCTTGCAAGTACTAAATAAGCTACCATGGCTCCAAAGAAAGCTCCTAGTGCCAAGCCTGTGGTAAGAAGGTGAGAAATATGTACAGTGACAAAGTCTTGTACCATTTTAGGGAAGTGTTAAAGAGACGCCAGAAACAGAGCTCTCTCCACAGTTACTTTGCGAGACAGGACTCCAGTGACTCTCAAGGTGGTCCTAGTGGCATTAAGAAACAGAGAAGAGAAGCAACCCCAGAGAAGCAATTGGTACCAGAGGTGTTGCTGGAAGGGGATTCCCCTTCCAAACTGTAAACAATCCAATCTCTCTCCTCCTCCAGTCTCCCATACACTAAGAAGAATCTCCAATAAAAGTAAGTGTTATGATGTTAATGTTTCATTCATCATTTCCATTGTATTGTTTATGTACTACATGTATATTTCATGTAAAAAATATTTTTGTTTTAATACTTCTGAGTGTCAGAAACGGATTAATTGTATTTACATTATTTCTTATGGGGAAAATTGATTCGCAAATTGTAAATTTTTGTTTATAGTAGCTCCTCCAGGAACGGATTAATTACGAAAAACGAGGGACCACTGTACGTTATTTTTATATTATTATAATTATTATTGACATTATTATTATTATTAGTAGTAGAAGTAGTAGTAGTAGTAGTATTACCTACTATAAATAATAATTCATAATTATTTATAATAGGTAATACATTTATTAAAATATCAATTCATTATCACCTATCATTATTATTATTATTATTATTTATTATTGCTATTTATTATTATCATTATTATTATTATTATTATTATTATTGCTATTATTATTATTATTTATTATTATCATTATTATTATTGCTATTATTATTATTGCTATTATTATTATTGCTATTATTATTATTATTATCAACATTATTATTATTATTATTATTGCTATTATTATTGCTATTATTATTATTATTATTATTATTATTATTATTATTATTATTATTATAAACAATCAATAATTATACATTATATAAAAAAAAAAAAAAAAAAAAAAAAAAAAAAAAAAAATAGAAAAGCTAGATACAGCGATTGATAAACAAGGGTGGAGGGCGACCGTTCGTCATTGTAGGAGTGCCAGCAGTCACCGGCTCTTCAACACGCAAGTTATACTTTTGTATCAATCAAATCACATATTACTCGGGTAGATAATTTCCAGTAGATCCTTCATGTGTTAGCTCAAATCACCGACCAGTATGTTTTAAATAAGTGACCCACTGCTTAGATCATATACAAATATATGTACAAGGTATGTAAGTACATGTACAAGGTATACAAGTACATGTACAAGGTAAACAAGTACATGTACAAGGTATACAAGTACATGTAAAAGGTACACAAGTAAATGTACAAGGTAAACAAGTACATGTACAAGGTATACAAGTAAATGTACAATGTATACATGTACAAGGTATACAAGTGCATATTCAAGGTATTACGAGTACATGTACAATGTATACAGACCACAGCTAACATGAATAACATACTACTATATACAAAGTCACTTGTTATGCTGAGCATTTCCTGCAAATTAGGTCAGTTTTGTCCCAGGATGCGACTCACACCAGTTCACTAACACCCTGGATGCGACTCACACTAGTCCACTAACACCCAGGAAGTGACCCACACCAGTCGACGAAAACCCAGGATGTGACCCATGCCAGTCGACTGACACCCAGGATGTGACCACACCAGTCATCTAACACCCAGGATGTAACCCACACAAATCGACTAACACGCAGGATGTGACCCACACCAGTCGACTAACACCCAGGATGCAACCCACACCAGTCAACTAACACCCAGGATGCGACCCACACAAATCGACTAACGCCCAGGATGCGAGCCACACCAGTCAACTAACACCCAGGATGCAATCCACACCAGTCCACTAACACGCAGGATGTGACCCACACCAGTCGACTAACACCCAGGATGCAACCCACACCAGTCAACTAACACCCAGGATGCGACCCATACCAGTCAACTAACACCCAGGATATGAGCCATACCAGACAACTAACACTGAGGATGCAACACACTCCAGTCCACTAATACCCAGGATGCGACCCAGACAAGTCCACTAACACCCAAGATGCAACCCACACCAGTAAACTAACACACAGGATGCAACACACACCAGTCCAGTAATACCAAGGATGCAACCCACACCAGTTCACTATCACCCAAGATGCGACTCACACCAGTCAACTAACACCAAGATGCCCCACAGAAGTCAACTAACACCCAGGATGCGACCCACAACAGATCACTAACAACCAGGAAGTGACCAACACCAGACAAAACACCCAGGATGCAACCCACACCAGTCAACTAACATAATAACATAAGAAAGAAGGAACACTCAATCAGCCCTACTGGCCCATGCGAGGCAGGTCCAAGTCTCCTACCAGCTTAAGTCAATGCCTCAACCTAGTCTGGACAAGTGACATTTTGTTAAGGAAGGAACACAGCACCAGACCCAGCAGCACAAGCTAATCAGCTCCAACTCACACCCACCCACACCCACTAATGTATCTAACTAACCTATTTTTAAAACTACACAACATGTTAGTATGTATGACCGTACTCGGGAGTTTGTTCCACTCATCCACAACTCTATTACCAAACCAGTGCTTTTTTCCTATATCCTTCCTGAATCTGAATTTTTCCAACTTGAAACCATTGCTGCGAGTCCTGTCTTGGCTGGAATTTTTCAGCATGCTATTTGCTTCCCCTTCATTCACCTCCATTCATACACCTCCATCATTTCCCCCCTAATTCTACGCCTTTTTAGAGAGTGCAGATTCAGGGCCTCAGTCTATCCTCATATGGAAGATTTCTGATACATGGGATCAACTTTGTCATCATCTTTTTTACATTTTCCAGAGTATTTAAATCCATTCTGCAATATGGTGACCAAAACTGTGCACCACAATCTAAATCAGGCCTAACCAAGGATATATAGAGTTGAAGAATAACCTGAGGATTCCTATTATTTATGTACCTCAATATGAAGCTGAGGATTCTGTTAGCTTTATTGCGAATGCTTATGCACTGTTGTCTTGGTTTCAGAATACTGCTAACCAGAAATCCCAAATCCTTGTATTAAGATCTACATTATTTACTTTATAAGTGGCATGGTTATTTTCCTGTCCAATGTTTAGAACTTTGCATTTGTCTATATTAAACTGCAACTGCTACATCTCCAACCACTGCATCAGTTTATTAAAATGTTCCTGGAGTGCTCTAATGTCCTCGTCAGAATGAATTCGATGGCCTATTTTGGTGTCATCGGCAAACTTGCTTATGTTGCTCTATATGCCCTCATCTATGTCGTTTATGTAGATTGTGAACAACAGGGGGCCCAACACTGACCCCTGTGGAACACCGCTCATGACACTTCCGCACCCTGACTTCTCCCCATTTATGCAAACTCTCTGTTGCCTATTTGTTAACCATGCCTCTATCCAAGAAAAAATTTCTCTTCCTATTCCATGTTCCTTAATTTTCCTCAATAGTCTCTGATGTGGGAGCCTGTCAAAAGCCTTACTGAAGTCCATATACACAATATCATATTTATTACCATGATCTACCTAATCTTATACCTTAGTGAAAATAGTTAATAAATTCGTAAGGCAGGAACACCCCTTTGTAAAACCATGCTGAGATTTGTTGATTAATTTATGCTTTTCAAGATGGCTATGAACTGCCTAGGCAATTACTGATTCCATAAATTCTCCCACTAAGGAAGTTAGGTGTATTGGTCTACAGTTCGAAGCTAAGGACCTATTACCTGCTTTGAAAACAGGTATCACATTTCCCATTTTCCACTTATTTGGCACCATGTCAGTTTGCAGTGATATGTTAAAAAGATTAGCCAGAGGTTTGCTAAGCTCCTCTTTACATTCCTTTAAAACCTTTGTGTACAGTTTAACAGGGCCTGGGCATTTGTTAGGTTTTAATTTATCTATTTGCCTAAGGACCATGTTACTTGTGACCCTAATCATGCATAGTTTATTATCGTCCTGTTCACATAATTAATTATTTCTGGAAAACTGCTAGTATCTCCCTGTGTAAAAACTGAGAGGAAGTATGTGTTAAAAATTCTACACATTTCCTTATCACTGTCTGTGAGCTGACCCGAGTAACTTTTGAGTGGGCCTATCTTGTCCCTGATCTTACTTCTGTATAACTATAAGAATCTTTTTGGGTTAGTCTTCGATTCTCTTGCAACTTTAACCTCATAATCTCTTTTTTGCTTTTCTTTTTCCCTTTTTTTATTTCTCTTTTTAACTGAATATATTGATTACTTAATTGTCCCTCTCCTCTTTTGATTTGCCTGTATATGCCTCTCTTTTGACCACTGAGACATTTTAATCTATTGTTCATCCAGTTAGGATTATTTTTCTTTGATCTGATTTCCCTATTTAGAAAATAAGTTGTCAGAGCAGCTGGAGCTATGCCCGGGAAAACGTCACATCAGCAGTCATCACCACCTACCCACAGTCAGGTGATGCAACCCACAACAGTCCACTAACAACCAGGATGCGACCAGCAGCAGTCAACTAACACCCAGGATGCGACCCACACTAGTCCACTGACAACCAGGATGCAACCAGGAGCAGTCAACTAACACCCAGGATGCAAC